TACAAGGTCAATCTTCTAATTTTCTACAGATTCCAGATGATAAGACTTTTGCTCTGTAATAATACAAATTTTTCCCATGAATAATAAGTATTTGCTTAAATTTGCTATACACAACAGTAAAAGGACTTTCATACTGATGTTTTTTCTGTCATTTGATACTATATACTTCCTAAGAAAGAAAGGCGGTCAGCATATTTATTTAGATGCAAGACTTCCCTCTTTCAGTGCAACCCCTATAAGCTGATCATTTCTACCCAGATCCTGCCATGGCCAACATAAAGGAGCTTCCCTCTTAGTGTTCCTGGCTCTGACAGCCACTGACTTCTCTCTCTCTTTCCCATTCTCTTTTCTGCTCCTCCTCCCTCTCTGGCAGGTGTTTTGAATTTTGAAATTCTTCTGTCTAGTTCCCTTTATTTTTTATTCTCTGACATAAGTGATTTAGATTTTCATCCTAAATGTGTTCCTCCATATTTTCATTTAATGAAAGTCAATGTTACTATCTTCTTTGAGTCCTTTCTCACTCAAAATAAATTTCAATAATTCCTCTCTCTCATTTTATCTGAAATATAAATAAACCCATACACATATATTTAGTCTAAATCTTCACCGTGTTTTAATAGGTTATCTTTATATTCTTCTTAACTGTTACCTCAGCCTACAATTTATCCTTCCAATCATTATCCTGTCTCCAGTATAATATCATTAAAATATAAACTGTTTAAAAGATCACTATCCTTTATGAGTTGTAACAGAAACATCTTAGTATGACTTATAAGACATTTTCTTTATCTGCTACAGGCACTCCCGAAAGCCCAACTGCAGCCACAGTGAATCTTATAGGACATGTAACAAACCTTATTTGCCCACAAGATGGCAGTAAAGCACAATTGTTTAAACCAATAAATTTGACCAGACCTAGGCCTATTCCTCATATACCAACAACGTAATTTTGAACAAGTTGCTAATGTCCTACGAGTTGTAGATTTCTCAGCATTTAAAATGGCAATGATATTTTACATGATTTTGAAGAGAAGTCAAGCTCCAAAAAAGTTTAAATAAGGGAAGTCCAGGTGAGTAACTGGACAAATGCGGCAAAATCTTGAGTAAAAGCAAGAGGGCCCTTCTTCATTGTCTTCTTAGGAATCCCCATTTCTGAAACCAAAAGGGGGGAGATTTTGAGAAGGAAAGAGATTTTAGCCCTTTCTGGTGTGATAGTTTTTCTTCTCAGGAAGGTGGAATCTCCTAATATACTCCATGTTGAGCTCTTATTCAGGTCTCACATTGGATTAGAAAGTTGGGAAATGTT